CAAAAAAAAAAAAAGAACGAGGACAATATCCAGCCATCTTGACCGAACAAGCTTGGTCAATAACCCATATATCTTCTCTACATTTTATTTCGATCCAGAGAAAAGTAGGCTAAAACCAAACCTTAACTTTTGTTTCACATATTCAATGTTTTACTCTTCAAATAATAAAATCTTCCTCAAAGAACTCTAAAATCAGAAAACGTCGTTTTTTTTGCGGGTAATAAGGGTGATTTCCTTGTGAACGAGAAAAAGAAGTAGAACACAGCTTTAATTAAGCAGTTGTTTTCATGGTGGTTTAGTGTGCTCCCAAAGTTTCCCGAGTGTTTTTATGGAGCATTTTCACACGACGTCACGGCAGCCATATTGTTGTTCCAAAACAATGAAACGGCGGCCATGTTGGTCTACCAAACAAATCCCGTGGGGTGAACTATTTTCTTATGTTCCAAAACGTTTGCGTGTGTGCATGCCAAGTGAGTGGAAACGTTCTGTAACTCAATGGAAACAATTTACGAAGTAATTTTGTATAACTCCATCAAGTTACGAAAAATGGCGTTCCGTCAATCGATGATCACGTCTGCTTCATAAAATTGTTTGTCATTTCCCTCACTTTTACTGCAGAGGTGGAGGTTCGTTTGTTCGGAATGGACACATCACACGCAGGTCACGTGCAAGTCAAGTATAATGGCACGTGGGGAACGATTTGTGCGGTGCCAGATTTGACATACCGGTCAGCGGAGGTGATATGTCGTCAGCTGCGCCAGGGACCTCCAGTAAAGCACAAGTTCTCAAACAATGAGTGTACAGCGACCAATCACGGAGCAGAAAGAGTGTGGCTGTCTGACTTGAACTGCCAGGGATATGAAGAGTCCATTGATGAATGTCCTCACAGAGGCTGGGGAATAATGGACCCAGAATACTGTAGAGGATGCACGCCTAAATATTGCAGTGTTTGCTTGATTTGTCAGCCAATGGACGCTAATGTTACAGGTACAGTGAAATCTTTATTGACTTTCTTCATGAAACATTTATTGTTACATGAGTAATCTAATACCCTTTTCATTTTAGAGGTGTTCTTTAAACGACAGCCCATAATATACCTGTTTCAAAGAAAGCCAAATTATTTGACGGTTGGGTAACCTTAGTTACAAAGAGAATTAATATAAGGTCTATGCAACATTCAGAAAACT